ATGCATATATAGATACATACATATATGTACACCTACACATACACACATACAGACTACGTATCATGAATGCCCGATCACGAGACGTGCGGTCGCATATGTCTTACGGTGTATATCACCGTTTATTGATTAATGCGGTATGCGCAATAGAAAGTAGAGAAAAAACATACAGATTTACGTGAATGGATGAAATTTGCATAACTCACGGCAAGTAATCACAGACTTCGCAACAGTCAGAAGTATATAAAAATGCATTGTGATGCTACAACGGTCATTTCAAATTTGCTTCTTCCTAATCGGCAGTCAGACAGACATCTCCAGCGCACCAATTCCGGATGGATAAGAAGGTCTCCGTTCAGCCTGATGTGGTAAGCAATGCCAGTGGATTCTTGTCGCATCTGCTTCTGTTCCTGGCTAGCCGCGTAGTTTTCGCGCAACTTCTTAACTTGTGCCGTTTCCTTGCAGTCGCGATGAGTTGCTACTCGCACTTATTTGAGGGCTATTTATATTTTTTGACTATTAAGATGCGTTTCAGTCCGGTGGCGCCATGTGGTGTGTGTGCATCCTTTAGGAAGCAAGGCGATTAATCGAACGTACTCCACGAAGGGTGGCCTACAAATTCAGTAAAAGAATATGGTGTAATTCCTTTGGGATAGTACAGCTCATATGCTAGGCTGCACCATGGAATTATCGATGGATGCTAAGCCAAGCTAATACTGGTGTCTCATCGCGCAGATCTTATTGTAGGAGCAAACTGCAGATATCTGTTCATAGCCAACTTGAAATGCATTGAATCCTTAGCTTCGTTTGAGAAGTTGGGCATTTTCAGATAACATTCACGACGCCACTGACTGATCGACAGACGGCAGATTTGGATGTGAAAAATGACTGGAACAAAGCAGTGGTTTTTAAAATGAAGACGACCAGGCCGGACGCATTCAAAATGAAACCCGTCTATGGAATCATCAATCCAAACAGCAAGGTACTCTTCAGCCTATAAAACGCGGACAGACACTCATTCATGGATCTGTCTGCGCGCGTCCGCTTTTTATTTTAGCCTGACCCGGCGGAAGCCTTCGATGTGCTGGCTAAATGACAGACAC